TTTACTTGTTTTAATAGAATTGTTTTTTTTTTTTTAATATTTTTCTAGAAATAACATTTTCTTTGTGGAGTGTATGGTTGTTAAATCGTTTGTCCTCTCTTCCTTAGCGTTTCCGATTTGTTTGACTTCCCTCCATTGCAAAGTACATTCCATTAAATATCAAACATATATTTCCAGTTTTTTTTTTTCGACATATAAATATCTTTAAATCACTAAACACGAATTCTGAGTAGGCAATTGATGTATTTTGGCCAAGCTAATCTTTCTTTCTCTCTCAATCTTTCCACCAATCACAGAGCCATCCATCCATCCATCCATCAATCAATCTATTTTTTGAAATATGCCAACCAATCAAGGAAATCGTTGTTTACTTAGAAGTGATTGTTATTCCGGGTCTTTAACACCACTGTACGGAAAAAGTTGTCAAAATACATGTGCCATTTTGTTAGGTTTATTTAAATCATTCAACATCTAGAATTGTCTTTTATGTTTTTGTTGTTTTTGCTGCTGTTGGTATTTTTTGCTCTTTTGTGTGTATGCGTGTTTTGTCTGTTAGATAACGGCAATTTGTCGATTATTTGAATTCTGGCGAACCAAGTGATATTTCATGATTGGGGTTTTCACATTTTTTCATTTCTCTATTTTCGTTTTCAAATTGTAGACGATGACTTGATGTCTTTTAAGTCGACATAAATGATTTAACAAGAATGTACTTGAGTTAAGAGGGATGTTCCTTTTTTAATATGTATATTATTGTGTTGAAAATGTAGATTATTTGGGAAAGTTATGTCCATATGAAGAGACTGGCAGACAAACTTGATTGAATTCCAATGAATTCTCATGCTCTCCGTCATGAGGTTAATCCCCACCAGTCAAAATCATTACAAATCTGATAACAATTCCAAATAATTAGACATTTCCTAACAACAAATAAAAAGTACCAAAGAAAAACAAGTTAAACAAGTAAAAAAGCTGTAAGTTCGGCCGGGCCGAATTTTTTATACCCTCCACCATTTGGTACAAATTTAACAATTTTCGAAAAAATAAAATCCGTTAAAAATTCTGTTAAAATCTTAAAAATACCGAATGTAGCCGTATATTAGGGTCTATACGACGACGTGGACCTGCATAAGCAACTTTTGTCACAAGCTATTACAATATTCAAATGCGAAACTTGAAAAAAATCTGTTTATAATGTAGCTAAAATCATCAAAATACCGAATATTGGGAGATACCATTAGGGTTATAAAACGTGGACCTGTACAGACAAATTTCTGTCATTGGCTTTAGTATCCATTACGAAGTTCAAATACAAAATTTGATAATGAATGAATAATGTAGCTAAAATCATCAAAATACCGAATATAGGGGCTATACGAAGACGTGGACCTACATGACCCCTTTTCTGTTTTATGCTGTAGTATCTATTACGAACTTCAAATATCAAGTTTGAAACATCGGGAGTTATATGCCGGCATTTTCAATACCAACCATCCTAGACACAATACAAATTGCACTGCCAAATTTTGAAGGTCTACGTCAAATAATGTGGGCTGTATCGCGATTTCAACAGACAGACGGACATCGTTAAATCGGCTTAGAATTTTATGCTGATTATGAATATGTATGGGGTCTACGATTAATATTAAGGTATGTTACAAACGGAATAACAAAGTTAAAATACCCTCCTTCCCAAGGTGGAGGGTATAAAAAAACTTACACATTTGTCGTCTAATTTCACTCGACATGCCCTTGTTAAAATATTATATAAGTTTTCTAGTTTAATGTAACGTAGTATATTTCCTTTCGTTCACGAAAAATACCTAATTTCGCTTCACTGTATGCTGATTGGTGTAGTGCAAACTGTATTAAGAATTTAATGTCCTATTATGGCTACTATGGAGCCTATATAAAAGGTGGACCGATATTAAAAATTACTTAGTTCGAATTGTCATCCAGTAACTGCACAAAAACCAAATATTTACAAACAATTTTTTAGCACATTGGCTTAGAGATATGTCAAGTGCCGAATATTGGGAGATACAACTGAATTGTGCATTACCAAAAAGTCTCATTTCTTCCGGCTGAAACGTATCCACTGAAAACATCGGAATTCGAAGAAACCCTTTAAAGCTGTTTAAAGTGAGAATGACAAATATATGGAGGAAATAGAGAGAGATTTGTAGAGAGAAATTATCGTCACAGCACTACAATATGCAATATAAACCAATAAGGGAAGGTCAAAAGTCGGGCGGGGCCATCTATATGTATCCCTACACCACCAAGCGTATTTAGTAGAGTTACAAACTATGAACCGAATTAAATTGCTGTATAGATGTATAGATTTTCACCAACATTTTACGTACTTGTTTCTAGACTGAATGCGGTCGGATGTGCAAAAAAGCAGGCCATTTGGACTGATATTGGCAATTCTGACCGTATCCCCACGTCCATGCAAATTGTCGTTAGGGTCGGCAATAATTGCGACCTGTAACATGATTACAACTTGACATGGACAAACGGACGAACATACAAAGCTAGATCGAATCCGCTCGGCATAATTGTGGGCCCAATCAAACCTAACACATGTAGGCCTAATCAAACACACATTGTTGTAGGGTATGAAAACAGCTCATTCGGGTGGGCATTGTGATTGAAGTCTTTATAATATTTTCAATATACAATTACATGCCTTATTTACTCAGAGTGATATATTTGAAAAAAAAATCATTTTATTCTGTCGGTTGAAATTGGACTTTTCAACATAAAAAGAACTCTGGATATTTTTCACTCTAACCGTTCTCTAAATTTTCCTTTTTTATTATTCTCCACAAATGCCAGACAGTTGTTCAAAAAAATCTAAAGGAACTACCCCAAAAATCACTGATTACCTTCATATGTCAATTAAACTTGTCTATCCTTTCTTTTTGTTCTGGCAACATTTCATAGGCTTGTGGTTGTTTATTTGTCTGAGCGCACACACATACGAATGTACATTTTATCCCAAAAACATCAATTAATTTAAAAATATAAAGTAATTTATCAATGTTAGGAGAGTAAAGCCGCAGGTTACAAATATCAACTACAAACACAAATGAGCAAGCTTTTCACAACAAAATTATATTGAAAAACGATGTAAATCAGAGAATAAAAGTGTCAAACAGAAACGAGGACGTAAAACACACACACATATACGTACAATCGTATGCAAAGTTTGACCTAGCCTACAACTTTTTTCAACATTTTCAAACAACAACTATGTCAATAAAAACTAATTTAAACAAATTCACATACAAAAGTAATTTACAGGATAGGGTAGGCAACAGATTAATGAATGTTATTCGTTATATAATACATACACACGAAAAGTCTATAAGAGTATTTGTTTGAAAGGCACGAGTTTCCCTCTCCTATTGCAGTAAATATTTATTTAAGAAAACACATACATTTACATGACACAAATAGGTATACTTCTTTACTTTTAACTACGCATTTGTGATTTGTCAAGTTAATATTTGTATATCTTGCTTCATAATTCAGATCTTGATACATAATTTTCAACATATTTCTAATGATATAAGTATTTTTTTTTTAAATTTAAGAAAATTTAATTGGGATCGAAACTGAAGAATTTTGGGCTGCAAGGAATTCTCCAGTTTATGCATTGGTACACGGATTTCGAAAAAATAAAACGTTTTTAGAAAGTTTACATCACTAAACTAATCTAAGTAGAGGGTGCGGAAAATTCAAAAAATGGGGGGGAAATTTCAACATACAAGATGAAAAAACTGCAACCAATTTAAGACTGCTGTCAATTCTAAGCCACTTGTCCGACAGCTGTTACAATTATTCCAGTGACAGCTCAATATAATGTTTACAAGCCTACAAAAGCATTTTGGTGAAAATTTTCCAGAAAAAAAGTTATTCGTGTTGGCATTCATTGGACGTTTGAAAGCCATAATCCGTGCCAAAGGTGTCCAATTCGAACAAACGTATTCTAAAATTTGATGCAATTTCCGACTTTTTTTGCTTTCATTCAGATTTCATAAGATTTAAAAAATTAAAATAAAAACTATGGCGTTTGACTTTGTTGCAGTGTTTTTTTTTATTTCATCCTGTATATTATAAAATACGTATATAAATACATATTATGATAAGACTTATTTTCAAATTTTATATTTATTTTCATGCGAATGCATATTGAAATAACAATAATATTCTTGAATAAAAATCAAGTAATGTTCGGATTGTTGAATCTTCCAGAATGTATAATTGGGTATTGAAAAAATCGTATGTCCTAAAAAAAATCCGATATTATGGATGGTACTGAATAAGAAAGTCTATATTTAATATAAATTTTCTATAATTTTTATTACTGATATAAACGAAATAAATTGTAATATTTTACTAATATTTTTTTTTACTAGTTCCTAATAATTAATATTAAATTATTATATTATATATTGTTATAATATATTTACATTATTTACTTTAAATTTGATTAAACAACTATAATTCCATAGTCTTATAAAAAACAAATGGCTCATATGCCATCTATCGATCAACCTTAAAATTTACAACCAATGAAAAATATAGCCCCACAATATCATCATATTGTTAAGGACTTAATTCTAATACATTGGCATTACATATAAAGAAATTAATGGAAAAATGTTCAAAACAAATTACTAACATATTTTTTGTGTGCTTACATGTTTCCCTTTTTTTAAACCTTCCACGTGGCAATCACACCAAACGTCTGATGTTCTCCCGCTGGAAATCAAACAACATCTATTAATATGGCAAATTGTTTCTCGTCTATTGCTAACTGGGGTCAACATATAAACCGAAAAAATTGGGATACATCTCAATGAAACAACAACAAAACCAACTTCATTACAATGCCATCATGTCTTACCATGCCGCATCATTTGTTATGTTTTCTCATGAATGAATGGTTCGCTCTAACCTCTCGGAATTTTGCTGTACCCAATGAATAGGAATCGTTAATGGGCAACTCAATGGGATCATTACGCAGCAGTTCACCTGGACCCAAGGGCGAACCAGGCATTAAAGGTGAAATTGGTCGACCAGGTGAAAGAGGTCAACCGGGGCAGAAAGGTGAACGTGGAGACCCAGGAATGAGTGGTGAAAAAGGCGATAGGGTGAGTACAAGAACATTAAAAATAGATGTGAATTATTAAGTAATATATGTGTGAGTAAAGATATTGGCATTTAATATATTTGTAATTAAAAAATTGCATATTTGATGGCAGCATAATTAGAATGATACGATTAGGCACTATTAGAAACCATTTTTAACAAAGCCAATGTCTCGGTAAAACTATTTATGCAGGAAAACAACAAAATGGCGAAAAGTTTAATTTATATATGTAACTAAATTTTTTATTTTATAAATACTTAATTTTTAATTATTAACTTCGTATGCAATGGGTTAGTATGGTGTTATATAAAGGAAGAGTAATTACAAATTGCAATGAGGACATGATATTACATTTCTCTTGCAATTATAATTTATGGCTTATTACACTCATATTTTTATTAGCAAATAGAAAGCACTTGCTTGTTTACTTTTTATACCCTACACCGCATTGTGTTTCAGGGTAATATGTCTTTGTGCACATGTTTGTAACATAGAGAAGGAAGCGAGATAGACTCATACTTCCTTTTGATTATCTACATAGAACCACATTCTGAGTCGATTTATGCATGTCCGTCCGTCTGTCCATGTTTTTTTTTTTTTTTTGTTTTTAAACAAAATGTAGGTCGCATTTATTGTCCGATCCACATGAAAATTTTTACAAATAATTTTTTGGCCTAAGGACAAAACCCTAGTTGGAGAAAATCGGCCAATATTTAGATATAGCTTCCAGAAAAAAAAAATGAAAAAACTGCAACCAACTTCAGACAGCTGTCATTTCTAAGCCACCCGTCCGACAGCTGATAAAATTATTCCAGTTACAGCTCAATATATTGTTTACAAGCATACAAAAGCATTTTAGTGAGAATTTTCCAGAAAAAAAGTTATTCGTGATGGAATTCAAGCGTGATAGTGTGATTTCTTTTTATTTGGCTTGAAAATTACAAGTGGCTGTCGTTAGAGCACTCCAGCATTTAAATGTGAATAAATCTTTTGTGTCTTGTACCGCTCGTTGCCGTGATACAGATAGCGTAGCCCGACGTCAAGGAAGTGAACGGAAAAAGCAGCAACATCAGCAGAAATGGTTCGAAAAGTAAAGAAGCGACTTGATCGAAACCCGTCGCAATGGCCGAAAAATGGCTGGTGGGCTGAACATATCGCAATATTCCATTCGGCAAATATTGAAAAATGAGCACGGGGTAAAGCCTTCGATACTACAAGAAATGCAAGAACTTACACCGCAGTAGAAAGAAAATATACTCAAAAGAGCTAAAGAGTTGCTTCGCTTGGTTGAAAGTGATGAACTACCGAATTTGGTTTTCTCCGATGAGAAAACATTCCTTGTCCAGCAATTTGTAAACAAACAAAATGATCGTGTTTACTTGCCAAAGAGGTCAGTTGAAAATATGCACCTTCGGTTGGCCACCAGAACTCAAGCGCCGGCCATGGTGATGGTGTGGGCCGCCATAACAGCCGATGGTCGCTCTCCGCTCGTATTCGTTTACCGTGGAATCCGAATAAATACCGAATATTATCGCAAAAATATTCTGGAGGGTGTATTAAAGACTTGGACTCGCAAACATTTTGACCGCAGACCTTGTATAGTTTTGACCACAAACACCATAATTAGTGCCAAAGGTGACCAATTCGAACCATTGTTTTAAATCTAAACTTATCCTAAAACTTGATGCTATTTCCGACATTTTTTGCTTTCTATCAATAAAATTAAAAAAAAAATAAATTAAAAATTATGTAATAATTGTGTAGGGTATAATAAAGTCGGCCCTCCCGGACATTTGACCGTTCTTTACTGGTTTTATCCACACATGATCTTCATAAAATTCTATCTTTTAAAATACTTTTGAACTTTTTCCATTTATAACACCGTTGCTCTTTACAACTGTAAGATGACCAACGAAAAGATATATTTTTCTATTACTTCTGTTTGGAAAACATATGCATATATACATTTGTTTGTTCACTTTTTTTAGTCTTCTCCATACACTTACTTATTGTCAGAAATTTGCTGCCAGTCTAGCATGCCTTAGCAAATAAATACCACAATCTCGTAAATCTCTTAATTATAAGAATTGTTTCATTTCATTTTCGCTTTTGTCACCTTTGAATGGGCTAATGTTTTGCCACGCCGAGTCATTGCCTATTTTAGTCGAACAAATGATTGGCAAAAAAAAAAAAACTAACTAAAGATGTTCACAATCCCCCACCGTGCATGCGAACGAAGGTTAATACATGTGGCTTTACATTGGCTTTTTCCTTGGCGTGTGGTGTGCTCTTTCACTCCTAATGCCATTTAATTACCTCAAATGATGATGTTGATTTACTTGTGAGAGAAAATGCTATTCATCTAATTATAATTGCTTATTTTATGGCAGCCAATAGTTAATGTTCTTAGAATGACACATTACTTTAATATCCCTAAGGATATAGCATTCATTAGGGAGATGTGGGATAAGGGTAACTTGGGTATGTGCGTGTGTATTGCATAAGGGATACGGGGGAGAATTGTGATATGTGGGTGTATTGCATGCACGAAACCACATGTAACACATTATCGAAGCAAAGGAAATATCTGTCAATTGCAAAGTATTCTAGGGAAAGGTAACAGAATTTTTTTTTATAATAAAAATAATATAATTAATTTCATATTATACATTTATTAATTACTAAAAGTCATTAGGATTAAATTCCAGTGTCTAGTTAGACAAGAAGGTTTGTAGTCTCTTGTTTTAAAGCTGTCCCTCACGTCTATTCTCTACGCCATTTCGTTGTGCTAGAAACAAATGTTACAGGCGGAAAATACTACAAAATAGACTATCAGGTTAGAAATAGCTAGCCTTCCCTGTACATGTTTCACCCCTGTTAATATGGTCTCATTGCCGGAGCTGCAATATTCAAATGATATTCGGTACAAGATATCACATATAACGTAGTATAACCCTTAAAAGTTTAGTCGAAATTAGGTCGATTTTATTATAACTCCCATATGTATTTCGGGATTTGATAATCTAGTGTTTTGATACATATTTATGTATTTAGTATGGAGAAATAATGAATGTAGACCTAACAAAGTACATAAATTCTTGATCAGCACAAAATTCTAAGACGATTTAGCACTGTCCGTCCGTCTGTTTTAATTACGACAAACGAATTAAGATAGGAAGCTTAAATTTCCCCCATACAATGGTAGCCCCCGATATTCGTTATTTTGATGATTTTAGCCACATTTTTCAATGGAATTGTCTGAATTCTATACAAATAGGTTTCTGTGAATAATTTAACCCCTGGAAGAGAATTGCCTATATTAGTCTAGGATATCGAATAGCACCCATACAATGGTACCCCCACAATATTCGCTATTTTGATGATTTTAATAACATTTTTTTACCGAAATTGTTTCAAATTTCGTATTTAAAATTTGTAATAGGTACTAAAGCCTTTGACAAAAAATTTCATATGATTTTTGGGACAATATCTCCCGGAATAGTTTCAAATTTCATATGTCAAGCTCGTAATGGGTACTACAATCTATGACGGAAAATTGTCTATGATGGTCCACGTCTTCACATTGATGATTTTAGAGACATTATTCACCCGATTTTTTCAAAATTTCGTGAGTTCGTAATAGGTACTACAGCCCATGATAACAACTTATGCAGAATCACGTCTTCGTATAGCTTCCATTTAACGGTTTTCCCTTGAGCTGTATTTTTCGACGGAATTTTTTGGTGGAGGGCCGAACATTGAGGATTTTTTATTTATTTCATATAATCCTTCTCGAAGTCATATTATGCACTCTTTAGCAATGTTATTTGGTAGAAGAGGTGCAAATTCCTCCGTCAAATTTGGTGAAAATCAATTCAGTGTTGGATATACATGCCATATAACACTTTCCTTTGATTCCAAATTATAACTGCTCTGAAAGCATAGTATGTTTCATAAGGTTCATAATTGGTATAATCAATTTCACATAATTTGCCAATATAACCCTTTGTTGTTACGGTAGTTTCACTAAATATGCGTAGTTGGGAAGGATTACATAGTCAGTCCCGTCCTGCTTTTGACATTCCTTTCACGTATAACCTAGATTTAAATCTGAAAATAATTTTTTGGTAATAAAAGTTTATAAAATGTAACTGACTGAACATCGTAATGTGTTCTAGATCCGGTGGCAGAATATTGTATATATTGGATCCCGTTTTACTACGATCCGAATACAACGGTACCTTCGGACACTTGGTATTTGGATGATTCTTGCCCCATTTTTCAACGGAATCTTTTCAAAAAAGGTATTAACGAGCTCTACCCCGGGTAGGTGAACATAGTCTGTAAAGGTCCACATATTTCGAATCGCACCCATATCAGTGTTCCTGCAGATATTCTAAATTTTTACTTTTTTGTCCATATTTTCTATTTGATTTTTTATCAAAATCGGTATGGGCTTCAAAAGTTTTCAAGATATATTGACACTTAAAAAGCAATTCATTCGAGGACAATTCTATTCTATTTGGCTTCAGCATGCGCCACTTTAGCATTACTAGTAATGACAACCACATAACTCCTGCATTACACGTAAGCTGAAAATAATTAAGTCATTCCTGAAATAATTTCGAACAAAATAACTCACTTCATTATAACATACAAAGAGTAACAGCGGAACAGAGAACTAGAGAGCACCTTAACTCTTTTTTTTTTAATTTTGCCAAAATGTTCCTAAGAAGCCCCTTTATTGGAAATGAGCCTCTTGCTGCATTTTTATTCCCTACCCCATAGTATGGAGGGTATATTAAGCTTCTAATTCCGTTTGTAACACCTCGAAATATACATTTTAGACCCCACAAAGTATATATATTCTTGATCAGCATAAAATTGTATGTCCGTCCGTCTATCCGTCTGTGGAAATCACTGTAACTTCCGAACGAAATGAAGTAGATTGATAAAATTTCACTCAAATGTGAATGTCTGCAGGAATTTTGGTATTGAAAA